AACAGTCCCAAAATTAATCATTATGCTACAGATTGTGCATAGATAAGTAATCATTCGTAACAAAACAAAATGAATACATTAAACAAAAATAAAATCCTTGATTCACAATGATTAGTTAGAATGAAATGAAAAAATAATGACAGAAATAAATAAAATATAAACACGTAGAAGTACACAATATTAAATTAACCACATATTATTAATTTGTATATCATCTTCACGATGTTATTTACCTACGTGATCATAATAAATCCTGATATTTATTTTTTTAGAATTAGATGTGGTATGATTGCCAATGAGACAAACATCCTTCGATGACCAAAAGATAACTATATATGTGTATACAATATTATTCTAATTTTGATTTTGTTTCCAATATTTCTGATATCTTTTTATATAATTTAAATCGAGTAAGGTATATGATTATCATTACAGATTTATCCTCAAATATTTTAAGTTCTTCAATTATTTTTCTGATATAATTAAGAATTTATCGCGCGCTGCACTATAAAAGTTAGTAAACGTCTACAACTGATGCAAAAGACAGGCTGGACCCAAGTTGAGTGAACTATAGAGGCACCTAGTGATACATATATAATATGTTCTACCAGGTGTGTGACTACGCCTACAACTACTTCAATGGCTAGGATGGAACTGAAGTGCAGGCAATTATTATGGTAACTAGTGATATTGTGGTCTATATCTTTGATGTCCCAGGCGTTGATAAACTTTTACAACTGATACCTTAGCAAGGATCGATGGAACTGAAGTGGACGGAACAAATATGGCACCTAGTAAGTATATGGTCTTTATTTATGAAATCCCAGGCGTGTTTCAACGTCTACAACTGATACCATAGCCATGGTGGAAATGAAGTAGAGGGAACTATTGTGATACCTTGTGATATTGTATTCTATATTTGATGTCCTATGCGTGTATAAACGTCTACGACTGATGTCAAAGCAAGGATGGAAAATGAAAAATCCAACAAAGTTATGAGGAGGACACATTAAAAATGACAATCCGTAAATTTTATCGACACCATCACGAATTGGTTGATTCATGCGATGTGTCTTTGTCCAAACTAACAAAGGACATTTTTTCCACGTGTTAGATTATAGTTTGCCATTACGTCGTCTGATCTTTTAAGTACCGAACGTGACTTTTTCCCGATTGTGACTGTTTTGCTGAGTGTGGATTCGCATTGCTATAAGACGTGTCACGGTATTATTCTATCCAAAATCCATGTATTTAGTTTTGATGTTATATTCGTTATTCTCATCGGATTTTGTCAAATGTCTTATCGTTTGTAGTTGTAAATCTTATTTTTATTTCTGTTCGTATGTTACGGTAAAGATAATTAATCACCCAGTTCATTTTTAAGATTTTAGTTTGGGTCAACTAAATTTATACGATGTATTTGGTTTACAGTTTGATTTAGAAGAAATACCGACATAGCTTGATAATACAATTAATTTTTCTAATTACTACCACAATTTTATATTAATAAGTATTGTAATTTTCATTGTTATCAATACATGGTATATCAGTATTACAAACCTAATCTTGAACTCTATCCTATTTTTTTGGAAATTTATAGAAATTTAAATGTGACGTCACATTGTGCGTCGATTTCTTCGGCTAACATATAATACGTTGTTCGGCTGTGCCTTTTTAGTTCACCGGGGCCCGAAGGGCTCCATGTGAGCTTATGCCATCACTTGGCGTCCGTCGTCGTCCGTCGTCTGTCGTCGTCGTCTGTCGTCGTAAACTATTTCAAAAGTCTTCTCCTCTGAAACTACTGGGCCAAATACCTTATAACTTTAAATAAATGTTCCTTAGGGTATCTAGTTTATAAATTGTATCCGAAGTTTTGATCCATCGACAAACATGGCCGTCATGGCTAAAAATAGAACATAGGGGACAAATGCAGTTTTTGGCTTATATCTTAAAAACTAAAGCTTTTAGAGCAAATCTGACATGGGGTAAAATTGTTCAATTGGTCAAGATCTACCAGCTCTGAAATTTTCAGACGAATCGAACAACCCATTGTTGGGTTGCTGCCACTGAATTGGTAGTTTTAACAAAATTTTGCAGTTTTTGTTATTATTTTGAATATTATTATAGATATATATATAAACTGTAAGCAGCAATAATGTTCAGCAAAGTAAGATCTACAAAAACGTTAATATGACCATAATTGTCAATTGACCCCTTAAGGAGTTATTGCCCTTTAAAGACAATTTTACACAATTTGTTCATCAAGTTTGCTAACATTTAAAAATCTTCTCCTCTGAAACTACTGGGCCAATTACCTTCAAACTTTAACTAAATGTTCCTTAGGGTATCTTGTTTATAACTTGTATCCGAAGTTTGTATCCATCGACAAGCATGGCCGCCATGGCTAAAAATAGAACATAAGGGTCAAATGCAGTTTTTGGCTTATATCTCAAAAACTAAATCTTTTAGAGCAAATGTGACATGGGGTAAAATTGTTTAATTGGTCAAGATCTATCGGCCCTTTAAAGACAATTTTACACAATTTGTTCATCAAGTTTGCTTACATTTAAAAATCTTCTCCTCTGAAATACAGGTGCATGAGCGATTCAGGCTCTTGAGAGCCTCTTGTTTATGTGCTGATTTAGGTTGTTTTATGTATTCGTTTTTATTCTGTAGTAAGTCACCACATCGGTGTTAACATGTATATCTATTATATAGTCATTTTTATAAATTTACTGTTTGCAAAAGTATGAATTATTCTAAATACTAAGGATTTTCTTATCCCAGGCATATAACCTTAGCCGTATTTTGGCACAACTTTTTGGAACTTTTCTAAGTTGTGTCCATGGAGGGTGTATTTTTTTTTGTATTGGTTCCTTCTTTTTGCTGATTGGCAGAACAACACATTTATCGGGATGGAACTGCATCCTCCATTTTTCTTCCCACGGCACGTGGCTAGCTTGTTAATTGAGGTCTTCTTGTAGAATGTTAATTGCTTTCTGATGAGATAGTGAAGTATGCAATGATGTCAACTGCAAATAGCCTCACTGGTGATAAAATGTTGTCCGGCATGTCATTGATGTAGAATAGGAAGAGGCTAGGTCCCAGTACTGATCCCTGCGGGACTCCGGACCCTTAAGTACATTTATGATGTCAGACTTCTCCCCTTCTATTCGGACAACGCGCTGAGTTCTGTCTGTAAGAAAGCCTTATTTCTGAACATTTGTTTTTCCTTTGATTCCATAATGATCAAGTTTATGGATTAAGAGACTGTGGTTTACTTTGTCGAAGGCCATCGAGAAATGCATTAGGTTCCTCGTTATCATTCGTCGATGAACTCCATTAGTTGTGTATCGCATGACAATTGTTTTCGAAACCCATGCTGCATTTTGAAGCGGATGGTATTCTTATTAAACTGGTCCGCCATTCCATCTAAATCTCCGCACCGAAGTGTAGTGTAGCGATAAGTGAACACAACAGGGGTCCAGATTAGTATTCTTATCTGCATGATTCCTACACTGTATGAATATTGATTTTATCCTGCAATTAAACATAGAGCTTAAACATATAGTTTTTTTTATATGAGACAACTCGGCCCATCTAAAAAGTCAACTCGGATCGTCTATAATAGACATAAGAAGATGTGGTATGAGTGCCAATGAGACTTTCAAGGTGAAAAGCATAAAATAGATATAAGAAGATGTGATAAGAGTGCCAATGAGACAACTCTCCATCCAAGTCAAAATTTATAAAAGTAAACCATTATAGGTCAAAGTGCGGTCTTCAACACGGAGCCTTGGCTCACATCGAACAGCAAGCTATAAAGGGCCCCAAAATTACTAGTGTAAAACCATTCAAACGGGAAACCCAGCGGTCTAATCTATATAAAAACGAGAAACGAGAAACACTTATGAACCACATCAACAAACGACAACTACTGAACATCAGATTCCTGACTTTATATAATAGGAACCGTTTGACCGTTTTTAATGCCAACACAGACAATGTATAAAATTACAGTTTTGACTATGAAGATGAATTTATTTTTAATGAAAAGACTGCTCGAAGAGAATTCATTTAACGGATACATTAAGTTTATTTAATGAATTGATGAAGATTTTATTCAAAATATAGAATCACAAAATTTTATGAAGTAGAAATTAGAATCTACATTAAATCTGGGACTATTATACTAACTATGTTAGTATAATAGTCCCAGATTAAATCAATTATTGCAAGGCACATTTGCAAATGCAAGCAAGGTTTAAAGGATACTTTTATTTAAAATTTAACATTTTATCAATATAAAATTATATAAATATCACAAACTCTTCTGTTTATACTTTGTTCGAGTTGGCATTAAAGGCAGTCCGAGAATAATAAATAAATAATTCAATTAACAAACAAATAAAACAAATTCGACCTACACTTTTTTTGTTTAAATTATATAATAAATATATAAAGATAACTAAAAATTTGAATTCACATTCACTTTGAACAATTCAAATTTTTTTTTAATTATGTTGTGCAAATTCAACAACATGCAAATGATATTTTCATGTAAAATATAACATTTTAAAATAATTTATATAGTTCAAATTTTCTTTTGATACTTTGTCTGAGTTTTCATTATTGACGGTCCGAGTTGACTTTATATAGACGGTCCGGAGAGACTTTATAGACGGTCCAAAGTTACTTTATGGACAGTCCGAAGTGACTTTATAAACCGGAGCGTCTTTTTACCACAGAACACCACAGAATACCACAGAACACCACAGAACACCACATAATACCACAGAACACCTAAAATATACCACAGAACTACACAAAATACAATAAAACTACTAAAATATACCACAGAACATTGAATTACTTTACAAAATGCAAAACTAATAATTCAGAATTACACGGTCCGAGTTGTCTTTTTAGTCGGTCCGAGTAATTTCTGTGGCGAGTTGTCATGCATTGTATTTTCCCCATCCCCATCGAATGAAATCGACGCGGACCGCAAGGAGGACCCTAATTGAACTGTGACGTAAACAGTAATATTTGAACATAACCGAAAATGAAAGTAGAAAATTAATGGAGATTTTCAAAAGACATGCGAAAATGAAATGCATAATTGAATGTATCGGGGATATGATGTAAAGAGTCGATCAAATTATGACATCATAGGTAAGAAGTTTACAATGTTGGTAAGTATCATTAGTATGCAATAAATTTATTATTTATCATAAATAGCACGTTTAGTGTTTACTTGTAGGTGTAATGACAGGACATTGAAATCTTAGCAGTAAATGGCCACCGGATATATTCATTAATATGTTTCGGAGATTAGTGTGACGTCCATTTTCACTGAACTAGTACACATTAATTTTGTTTAGGGGCCAGCTGAAGCCCGCCTCCGGGTGAGGGATTTTCTAGCTGTGTTGAAGACCCATTGGTGGCCCTGGGCTGTTTTCTGCTCTTTGGTCAGGTTGTTGTCTCTTTGACACATTCCCCATTTCCATTCTCAATTTTATGTTGGTTTCGCAAAAGTAAAAGCTCATATTTTAAAATTTTGATAACATTATTTGAACGCACCATTTCCTGAAATCGCAATAATTATTTTGACGTTTCAACAATTGAAATAAGAAATGCATGCAAAAATTTCTGAATTTATGGTATAACGGAGTTGTATTCTTTATTAACTATATGATGTTTAAAGTAAAAATTTTCATGGATTTTTAAAGGAGGTTATTCTTTCTTATTGTTTAAAGGACATGATGGAGATGCAAACCTTAGCGATATGATGTTGAAGTCATCACTTATTTTAGTTGTGGTAAGTAATAACATATTTGCTGATTATACTGATTTATGGCAATGCTTTAAGTGGCAATATTATTAATGAAGGTTAACTTTATTCATATAAACCTACCACATCCCTCATCACACCTTTTAGTGCTAAATTACACAATACTGATGTTAAAATTAATGTGCATTCTTTTAGTATATATATCTTGTCAATAATGATAACAAAAATTTATGTTAATCTGAATATATCAAAACTGGATAGCTATAAACATGATAAATGAAAAAAGGTGTGTATATTATCCATGACATTGGAAAATCTTGTGAATCTAGGTCTTACATTTATATATGTATGTTAAAGATATACAGGGTTCTTATAAAGCTATTATATTTCTTTTTATAAGTATGTAAATATCATGATGCCTTAAAATGCTAATTTTATATTTTTATCAAGTTATTTTCTTTTAGATATACATAAATGTAGCAGAATCAGTGTTTAAATCTTATGTTGATCAGTGTCCTTTACAAGGAAAAGAGAGAATCTTCAGGTCTTCATCAGTATGTCAATCTTTACAGGAATATCACTGTATGTATGATGACGATTTTCGTTTAGCAGAAATATGTCAAACTTTCAAACAACTTCCGCCAGGTAATAAATTATGTCACATTTAGTTAGTATTTGCTTTTCAACACTTTTCATGTTAAATATTATATAGACTTTCATTGAATGTCTTTATGATGCATCAGTTATAATTCAAATTAAACTCTTGTTTAGTTCTATAAAAAGTACCAGCAAGACATCCCTTCCGTTCCATCATGTGTGTTAATCTATTTCAAGAAAAAGATGATACACAACTAAAAAGACGTTTTTAGTGAAATTATATAATGGATCTCAGTATTATGTTTTTTAAGTAGTATCAGACGTTTTAGAGGAGGGTATTTACATTATTTTAACAGTTATACATATATATCAGTCAGGGGTACTACTTAAAAAAGTGATTTCAGAATCACTCCCTCGAGTGATTTTGGTTGTGAAATATTAAAAATTTTCACACATACTTTTTAAAATCACTGAAACAAGTAATTTTAAAAGTTAAAATGTAATCACTTTAATAAGTGTTTATAACATTTTCTTGATATTTTTCCCACAAGCTTGATTTTTTTATTGGTAAAAAGACAACAATTCCATTGAAAAAACAACTATGTATATGCAGAAATTGTCTTTTGCTTGATAAGCCTGACACTTTTACAGTTTTTTTAAAATATGCAAAAACTGGAATAACTTGTAGATCAGGTCATAACCTTGAAGTAGATCATTCTAACTCTAAAGAAAACCAATCAGGTTACCTAATATTGTTGATCTTTGTCTGATAGTAAGAGTAGTTAATGAATTTTTGATTACAGAAAAATTCCCAAGGGTACTTTTAAAAGCTTTAGCGCACTAACTTACTGCCCAAGCGCACTGGTGAAATTAATATACAAAGAAAAAGGGATAATTGATTTATGTAGGAAAATTATAGAAAAGATTGTGAAAATATGGAAAATCAATGAAATTAGCATTTGAAGATCAAAGAAAACACTAAAATCACTTAAATAGGTGATAACTGAATTTATCAAATCACTGAAATAAGTGATGATGAAATCACTTGTTTAAGTAGCACCCCTGACTGTATATATATATATATATAAAGTATAGATATACCATCTATGGAAAGATAATTGATTATGTAATAACCTACCGTAGATGTAAACAGTTTGAGGTTGTGTCTTTAAAGAAATGATTCATTGAAAAAGGATTACAGGAATCGCCAAAATAAAAAAAAACAACAGTTTAACAGACTACATCAACCAACAACATATGAATCCTTCTGAAAAAAAATAACATACAAACAAACATCGGACTCGGACTTCTCTTAAACTGAGTTTTACTGTGCGTACTGTTGTACGTTTGTTTTTTCTACATTGGCTAGAGGTATAGGGTAGGGTTGAGATCTCAAAAAACATGTTTAACCCCGCCGCATTTTTGCACCTGTCCCAAGTCAGGAGCCTCTGGCCTTTGTAAGTCTTGTATCATTTTTGATTTTAGTTTCTTGTGTATAATTTGGAGTTTAGTATGACGTCCATTATCACTGAACTAGTATACATATTTGTTTAGGGGCCAGCTGAAGGACGCCTCCGGGTGCGGGAGTTTCTCGCTGCATTGAAGACCCATTGGTGGCCTTCGGCTGTTGTCTGCTCTATGGTCGGGTTGTTGTCTCTTTGACACATTCCCCATTTCCATTCTCAATTTTATAGACAAAAAACAACACACAACCCATGGCCCAGAAAGCCTGATTTGCCTGATTTGGTACAGGCACAAATGGGGTGGAGAAAATTAAGGGGACAGGTACAATGCATTAGGAAGAGACAAATCAAGGTAACAATCAGGAACTGAGTTGTGTTGAAACTTTTTTTTAACATTTTACAGGAAACTATCCAAGATACAGCAGTTATGGTGATGACATATACTATGACCCATGTCCAGATGGATTGTATCAAATGGGACCAGCCAAATCCTATGAAATAACAAATTGCTTGTTCAAAAAATCTCATTGTACATCTGAGGGTCAAATACTTTGCTCAAATGGAAGTGAACTATCTGATGTCACCTGCAGATGTGATTATCAGGATGGATATGCAATGGTTCAAACCAAATGTTGTTCTCCAACCTTATTTGAAGATTGCACTTGTTACAAAAAGAGATGTCCAAACGAAAATCAAGAGCTGGATCCAGGTAATGTGAAACATCAATACATATTTTTTTTGATGGTCCATAAAATGCTCAATGTAGTTCTTAAATCCTAATTTGTTTCTCATCACTTGGCGTCCGTCTTTCGTCGTCGTCCGTCGTCGTTAGCTTTTTACAAAAATCTTCTCCTCTAAAACCACTGGGCCAAATTAAACCAAACTTGGCCACAATCATCATTAGGGTATCTTGTTTAAAAAATGTGTCCGATGACCCCGCCAACCAACCAAGATGGCCGCCATGGCTAAAAATAGAACATAGAGGTAAAATGTAGATTTTGGCTTATATCTCTGAAACCAAAGCATTATTATCAGGTCAAGATCTATCTGCCCTGAAATTTTCAGAAAAATCTGACAACCTGTTGTTGGGTTGCTGCCCCTGAATTGGTAATTTTAAGGAAATTTTGCAGTTTTTGGTTATTATCTTGAATATTGTTATAGATAGAGATAAACTGTAAACAGCAATAATGTTCAGCAAAGTAAGATCTACAAATAAGTTGTAGACCAAAATTGTCAGTCGACCCCTTTAGGAGTTATTGCCCTTAATAGTCGATTTTTAACAATTTTTTGTAAATTTTTGTAATCTTTTACAAAAATCTTCTTCTCAGAAACTGCTGAGACAAATTTAACCATACTTGGCCATAATCATTATTAGGGTTTCTAGTTTAAAAAATTTGTCCGATGACCCCGCCTTCCAACCATCATGGCCGACTTGGTTAAAAATTGAACATAGGGGTAAAATGCAGTTTTTGGTTTATATCTCTGAAACTATAGCATTCAGAGCAAATCTGATAGGTGGCAAAAATGTTCATCAGATTTAGATTTATCTGCCCTGAAATTTTCAGACGAATCCGACAACCCGTTGTTGGGTTGCTGCCCCTGAGTTAGTAATTTTACAAAAATTTTGCAGTTTTTTGTTATTATCTTAAATATCATTATAATATCTAATATCTAATACTATTAATTATGATTTTAACCTTATTTTACATGATTTCCAAAGCATCAGTAAATACAGGTGAGCGACACAGGCTCTTGAGAGCCTCTAGTTTTCTGTATTCTGATATCCTTGTACTCTTACATGAAGGCATAGTGAATGTGTGACAAATTTGTGAGCAACATGTGCCAAAGTCTGTATTTATAATCAAACAACAATATGTATGTTGTCTGTCTGTCTGATCCTTGCTGTCTCAAGTTATAATTGGTTGATTCTTCTGAAAGATTACTGGCAGTGTTTTTTATGCCCCTGCAGCAACAGAGGGGCATTAAGTTTTACCCTTGTTCTTCTGTACAACCCTTGTCCATCCGTACATCCCAAAATTAGTTTCCATTCTCTAACTTTAGTTTGCCTCAGCGAAATCTTATGAAACTTATACACAATATATAAATAAGAAGATGTGGTATGAGTGCCAATGAGACAACTCTCCACCCACAGTCACAATGTGTAAAAAGTAAATAATTATAGGTCAAAGTATGGCCTTCAACACAAGTCTTGGGTCACACAGAACAGCAAGCTATAAAGGGCCCAAAAATGACTAGTGTAAAACAATTCAAACAGGAAAACCAACAGTCTAGTCTATATAAAAAATGAGAAACACTGATGAACCACACCAACAAACGACAACCACTGAACAACAGACTCCTGACTTAGGACAGGTGCATACAAATGCAGTGGGTTTAAACGTTTTAACAGGCGCCAGCCAACCTTCACCCTAACCTGAAACAGAAAGGTAACACTACAACATAAAACGACACACTATAAAATATCAATTGAAATGGATTAACTCAATCAAAAAGACATATAAACAAAAACAAGTAAACATACACTGAGCGAATAAGTTTGATCTATGACACAATATAAATACAACATTAATAAAAAAAATTGTAGAACAATGTCAAAAAAACAACTTTAACCTGGGACAAAATGGTGTTAAATAAAGTAACGTACACAGGTAAATTTAAATATAATAATTTTGTTGTTAGGAGTTTGAAATATTTTTTGCAAAATAAATGAATTTGTTGTTCACAGTACGAGTATAGAAATGAAAATTTATCGTCATACTAAATACTTATCAGAGGTAGTACATATTAAAAATAGTGAGACGAGATATAACACAAAATAATTAAACATTGAATAACAGAAATTTATGCATTACAAATTGTTTCAACAGGTCAAATTAACACAAAAGTACGGTTTGAGAGTACTCGCAGTTACTGAAAGCTAGTTAAAAGCCAAAAACAATTAAAATAAAAAATCATGCATCTGAGACTAAAATCAATTAAAACACATCCCAGGGATTTAATGCCATGGACAGTCAAGGGACTTACAATGCTTATTATCACCAAACACAGACCAATTTCAAATTTGATGGGCCATTCTTGTGTTATGTCCCTTTATAAATGGAAAAATTGCTAAATTTGCCATTTCCGCACTGTAGCTTTAGTCTGCCTCAGCCAAATGTTATGAAACTTATACACAATAATAACTACCACCAGATCAAGTTGAATTTAGGTGGCGTCACTTTAACCATTTTAGAGTTATATCCCTTTAAAATTGAAAAATTGCTAAATTTGCATTTTCCACACTCTTACTTTAGTTTGCCTCGACCAAATGTTACGAAACTTACACAGAATGCTTAATACCACCAATAACAGATCCAGTTTGAATTTGGGTGGCATAACTTACATCGTTCTTGAGTTATGTCCATTTATAAATGGAAAATTGCTGCTTATTTACAAGCGGGGCATCTGTGTCCCATGCACACATTCTACTTTTATTTGCATAATTGAGCTCATAGGATTAATTTAGGCGACCAATCTAATCTAACCAGAGGTCAAAAGGTCATACATGTTGAGTAGTGTTCCCACCTTTTGTCATGATGAAAGTTTGTATTAACTGTTTATAAGGCAAGCAGAAATGAATCAAGTTAGACAGCCAAGGCTTTGATGTTGTGTGCTTTCTATATATCCTGTTTATTATGGGTTTTGGTAAATGATTATGCAGAAAGCACTGACAAATGAAAAATAACAAACTGTTGACCCATAGAAAGAATTTGTCCATCACAATCTTTGCTAGTCATCATTGAACTTAAAAACAAGCAATAGAAATGTCACATTTTGATATTGCATTCCAGGATTGGCCAGCCATAATAAATGCATTTGAGTTAACATTTGTTGACACAAGAATTATCTTTTAATGCAGTAAATAGGTAACAGACAACAACAATATAAAAGCATTGATTTTTCCTAAGGCTTTGCAAAAAGTAAACTTTATTCATGCTTTGCTTAATTTTCAACGTGTTCAAGTAAGAAATTCCTGATTTTTGAATCACAATCTTTGGATAAATAAATAAATTTCTCCACCATAACATCAAATAAAAGTTTTAGTTCTGTCAACTTTTAAGGGAAAAAAATAATTAAAAGCGAGCAAATCGTTATAATTATAGTTCCGAGTTTTTTTTTAATTCAAAACAATTCTAAAGGAATCAAATGACTTAATATGATGGTCTATATTTACAAGAAAATTTGAATAAATTTTAATATTGTAGTACAATGGTAAATAATTTGAATCTGACTGAATATAAGTGTTTTTGAAAACTACTTAGCTGTATTTCTTTTCAGTGGTTGCATGTATACTATCTATTTACTTATAGGTGTAATACCACCAAATCATAGTACGTCACATCCGGTTGCATACAAAAATAGGTTGAAAAAAAATATTCCCTTGAATTTGACAGTTGTAGGTAATTGATCCTACATTTCATTGCAGTAAAACATTTCTGGGTCATAAACATATATCTTGGGTATTTCAAAGCACAATTAATTTTTTATTTGGGGTTTCTATAGAATATTTTGAACACTTGAGGTTACATGGTTACTAAAGCTTGTACACAGGTTAAAAAAGGGGGGAAATTTGATTGGTTAACTTCCAGTGATGGTTATTTTCTTATATGCAATGAAATGTTATGTGAAATTTTTTCTATAGTACTGGACAGGATAAAACTTTACTCATGCCAAGTATTTCTTTATTTGAAACAAAGACAAATTCTGCACAATTTTTTGAAAAGTGCAAATTTAATAAAGACTAATAGGGGAAAATCAATGGTGGTATTACACCTATAGATCACAGATGTGTTGACAAGTGGTTGTTTGTTTACTATATATTTAATTTTGGAGCACAGATGTGTTGACAAGTGGTTGTGTGTATACTAAATATTTAATTTTGGAGCACACATGTGTTGACAAGTGGTTGTGTGTATACTAAATATTTAATTTTGGAGCACAGCTGTGTTGACAAGTGATTGTGTGTATACTAAATATTTAATTTTGGAGCACAGATGTGTTGACAAGTGGTTGTGTGTATACTTAATAGTTAATTTTGGAGCACAGATGTGTTGACAAGTGGTTGTGTGTATACTAAATATTTAATTTTGGAGCACAGATGTGTTGACAAGTGGTTGTGTGTATACTAAATAGTTAATTTTGGAGCACAGATGTGTTGACAAGTGGTTGTGTGTACACTAAATATTTACTTTTAGATCACAGATGTGTTGACAAGTGGTTGTGTGTATACTAAATAGTTAATTTTGGAGCACAGATGTGTTGACAAATGGTTGCGTGTATACTAAATATTTACTTTTAGATCACAGATGTGTTGACAAGTGGTTGTGTGTATACTAAATAGTTAATTTTGGAGCACAGATGTGTTGACAAGTGGTTGTGTATATACTATATATTTAATTTTGGAGCACAGATGTGTTGACAAGTGATTGTGTGTATACTAAATATTTAATTTTGGAGCACAGATATGTTGACAAGTGGTTGTGTGTATACTAAATAGTTAATTTTGGAGCACAGATGTGTTGACAAGTGGTTGTGTATATACTATATATTTAATTTTGGAGCACAGATGTGTTGACAAGTGATTGTGTGTATACTAAATATTTACTTTTAGATCACAGATGTGTTGACAAGTGGTTGTGTGTATACTAAATAGTTAATTTTGGAGCACAGATGTGTTGACAAGTGGTTGTGTATATACTATATATTTAATTTTGGAGCACAGATGTGTTGACAAGTGATTGTGTGTATACTAAATATTTAATTTTGGAGCACAGATGTGTTGACAAGTGGTTGTGTGTATACTAAATAGTTAATTTTGGAGCACAGATGTGTTGACAAGTGGTTGTGTGTATACTATATATTTAATTTTGGAGCACAGATGTGTTGACAAGTGATTGTGTGTATACTATATATTTAATTTTGGAGCACAGATGTGTTGACAAGTGGTTGTGTGTATACTAAATAGTTAATTTTGGAGCACAGATGTGTTGACAAGTGGTTGTGTGTATACTATATATTTAATTTTGGAGCACAGATGTGTTGACAAGTGGTTGTGTGTATACTATATATTTAATTTTGGAGCACAGATGTGTTGACAAGTGGTTGTGTGTATACTTTATATTTACTTTTAGATTATAGATGCGTTGACAAGTGGTTGTGTGTACAACCACTTGTCAACACATCTGTGCTCCAAAATTAACTATTTAGTATACACACAACCACTTGTCAACACATCTGTGATCTAAAAGTAAATATTTAGTATACACACAACCACTTGTCAACACATCTGTGCTCCAAAATTAACTATTTAGTATACACACAACCACTTGTCAACACATCTGTGCTCCAAAATTAAATATTTAGTATACACACAACCACTTGTCAACACATCTGTGCTCCAAAATTAACTATTTAGTATACACACAACCACTTGTCAACACATCTGTGCTCCAAAATTAAATATTTAGTATACACACAATCACTTGTCAACACAGCTGTGCTCCAAAATTAAATATTTAGTATACACACAACCACTTGTCAACACATCTGTGATCTAAAAGTAAATATTTAGTATACACACAACCACTTGTCAACACATCTGTGATCTAAAAGTAAATATTTAGTATACACACAACCACTTGTCAACACATCTGTGCTCCAAAATTAACTATTTAGTATACTCACAACCACTTGTCAACACATCTGTGCTCCAAAATTAACTATTTAGTATACACACAACCACTTGTCAACACATCTGTGCTCCAAAATTAACTATTTAGTATACACACAACCACTTGTCAACACATCTGTGCTCCAAAATTAAATATTTAGTATACACGCAACCACTTATCAACACATCTGTGCTCCAAAATTAACTATTTAGTATACACACAACCACTTGTCAACACATCTGTGCTCCAAAATTAAATATTTAGTATACACACAATCACTTGTCAACACAGCTGTGCTCCAAAATTAAATATTTAGTATACACACAACCACTTGTCAACACATGTGTGCTCCAAAATTAAATATTTAGTATACACACAACCACTTGTCAACACATCTGTGCTCCAAAATTAAATATATAGTAAACAAACAACCACTTGTCAACACATCTGTGATCTATAGGTGTAATACCACCATTGATTTTCCCCTATTAGTCTTTGTTAAATTTGCACTTTTCAAAAAATTGTGCAGAATTTGTCTTTGTTTCAAATAAAGAAATACTATATATTTAATTTTGGAGCACAGATGTGTTGACAAGTGGTTGTGTGTATACTATATATTTAATTTTGGAGCACAGATGTGTTGACAAGTGGTTGTGTGTATACTATATATTTAATTTTGGAGCACAGATGTGTTGACAAGTGGTTATGTGTATACTATATATTTACTTTTAGATTATAGATGCGTTGACAAATGCAAACATGGTTATGAAAGAAAGCAAGGAGAGTTTGATTGTACCTTGATAGTGGAAACAAAGAACATGTAAGTTATATTGAAGCTAAATTTGTGAATGAAAGGTGTCATCCTGGTTTGCCCACTTTTAATTACATGCATATGTTAACATAGGGTGGATGGTGTCATCCTGGTTTGCCCACTTTTAATTACATGCATATGTAAACATAGGGTGGATTGTTGTTTTAACAATTATAGTTTATTTCTGAATTATAGTCATATTTTTTACCTTTTATTTTACCTGTAAAATTTTATCAAAAATCCTATATTCTGCTATTAAATCAATGAAAATTTTCAATATAGTTTTTATCAGGAAAATGTATTGAATTTGACAATTAATTCTAACAAATAGAATAAAAATGCAACTGTTCAGTACCCAAGCTTTACAAATAAAATAATTTGAACAGTAATCTGTATCCAAGCTAGCATTTTCTTCTTTAAAAAAAAACCCAACAGATTGTTATTTTACCATAGTGCTCTATTTATTTCCTTATGCAATGCATTTATAAACTTGATTCATATATAAGGTGACGACCATTTGATATTGTAAGGGGGGGGGAGGATTTTGAAAATAAATAACTCAGCCTTGATAATAAGAAAAAAATAATGGTTTGTCCTGTAGTAGTTTGAAAAAAAAATAAACTGACTTAAAATGTATTGAAAATAAATAACTCGGCAGGTCTTTTAAGCCATTTTATAAATGCTATTCTAAAGTATGAGATGGCACCAGATTCTTACAAAATTTGTCTTTTTTCATTTTTTTTAGGGAAAAACTTCCCAAATCTTTAAATAATATAATGTATAAATATTAATTTACTTGAATTAAATGTCCGAAAATGGGTTTCATTTAACTAAGGTATATTGTCTCAGGAACATTTACTTTATTCTCTTAGTGTTGCTTTCCATTTGTAATTTAGTAAAAAAAAATTAACTTGACTTTTATTTTTTTTTAGTATTTTTTATCTAAAAAAAAATAGCAGCCACATCCATAAAACTATATGTGAACTACATGTTTTTGCTTTATCCTACATATTGGTCTTTTGATGTTGTCTCTAAAAACTAAAAGTCTTACACTGAAACTATATATTTTGCCTTGAGACCAAAATATTGTCAAAAATAATTAAAACAGAACTTGCATTTTTGATCAAGAAAGGTTCTGGGAAATGTGCAGAATACATGATTTTGCATACATTTTTCTATAGCTTCTTCGGGCCTTCAGCAACCCCAAAACCCTGCGCACGAAATTTGTTTAGTTTTTATAAGACTGCAAAAAAATTTTGCGGTTGTATATTGGTATGACAGTGGTGTCTTCGTCGTTGTTGTCGTCGTCGTCGGCGTCGTCCGAAGACACATTGGTTTTCGCACTCTAACTTTAGTTTAAGTGAATGGATCTTTATGAAATTTTACCATAAGGTTCAATACCACAAAAGGAAGGTGGGGATTGATTTTGGGGGTTATGGTACCAACTGTTAAGGAATTAGGTGCCAAAAATAAACATTTTTGTAACTTCCAGACATAACTTGTGTGTTAGTGTATGGATCTCTCTGACATTGTACCACAAGGTTCCATATCTCAAAGGGACTGCTGGGATTGATTTTGGGGGTAATTGCCTCCAAATTTTAGGAATTAGGGACCAAAAAGGGGCAAAAAACAAGCATTTTTCTAGTTTCATGACAATAACTTGTGTGTAAGTGTATGGATCTCTCTGACATTGTACCACAAGGTTTCATATCACAAAGGGAATGCTGGGATTGATTTTGGGGGTAATTGCTTCCAAATTTTAAGAATTAGGGGCCAAAAAGAGGCAAAAAACAAGCAGTTTTCTAGTTTCATGACAATAACTTGTGTGTAAGTGTATGGATCTTTTTGAAATTGTACTTCAAGGTTCCATATCACAAAGGGAAAGCTGGAATTGAGTTTGGGGGTAATTGCCCAAAACTTTTAGGAATAAGGGGCCAAAAATAAACATTTTTCTAGTTTCCAGACAATAACTTGTGTTCAAGTGTATGGATCTCTCTGAAATTGTACTGCAAGGTACCATACCACAAAGGGAAGGCTGGGATTGATTTTGGGGGTAATTGCCTCAAAATTTTAGGAATTAGGGGCCATAAAGGGACAAAAAAACAAGCATTTTTCTAGTTTCAGGACAATAACTTGTGTGTAAGTGTATGAATATTTATGAAATTGTACTACAAGGTTCCATATCACAAAGGGAAAGCTGGGTTTGAGTTTGGGGGTAATTGCCCTAAACTTTTAGGAATTTGGGGCCAAAAAGGGGCCAAAAAACAAGCATTTTTCTAGTTTCCAGACAATAACTTGTGTTCAAGTGTATGGATCTCTCTGAAATTGTACTGCAAGGTACCATACCTCAAAGGGAAGGCTGGGATTGAGTTTGGGGGTGATGAATCATAAGGGGGTTCAAAAAATTTGGGGGGGGGGGGGGGATTTTTTTTTCCCTTTTTTTTCTTTAAAATTTTCCATTTTATATTGGTTATTTCTGATTTATATATAAAAACAAATATTAATGATATGGTTTGAATAGGTAAATTAAAAATTTTTAAGTTCTTAGACCACATTCATTCTGTGTCAGAAACCTATGCTGCGTCAAATATTTAATTACAATCCAAATTCAGTGCTGTATCAAGCTTGAATGTTGTGTCCATACTTGCCCCAACTGTTCAGGGTTCAACCTCTGCGGTCATATCAAGCTGCGACCCAGCCGAGCATTTTATTTTTTTTAATATACTTTATATTACTTTTAAAACAGGCTAGTGTCATTGTTTTACATATATGTTAAATTATTGAGAGAAAAAATATATGATTTATTTATAATTTATCTATACATTTATGAAAATGGAATTACAAAAACAAAATACCTGAATATATATAGAAAACACTGATAAACTTTATACCTAAGTTGGAACAGACTATATAATTGTATGCTTATTAAACCTTTTGTCTTTTTTGTTTTCTTTAATAATAAATAATTGGTGTAATTAAAAGTGGGCAAACCAGGAGTAAACCGAATGAAAACATACTAATCTTTATTCTATGTATGTAAGAAAATCCTCACTGCAAATTCAGTTTTTTTATTACATTTAAGTAAGAATACCGTTTTCATTCTTTTCGTATAATCTTAATTAAAATATATGAATAAGGAGATGTGGTGTGATTGCCAATGAAACAACTATCCAACAGAGATTAAAGGACGTGGATGTAAGCAACATATAACTCCAGCAATATACTTAAACATCTTAAATATGATGAAATAGAACAAATGCTTGCATGAATATTTGTTTTGCATGGTGTCCCAAACATATTGTTGATGTGGATTTTAACTTGCTGTGTTGAACAAACCATGAGTTTTTGAATAGATAAAAGTTGGTTAATTCTTGACATTATGTAAAAGGTCATAGAATAGTGTACAGTCCATAAAAATAAGAAGCATTCTATGACAGTTCAAAACCTTTTAACACAACAGTTAAAAGACCAAACTGATACTTTTTATGGAAAATATAAAACAGGAGTAAGACGCTACTCCATGTTTTATGTCATAAAAGAATAATACAGTTAAAATTTAATCGGAATTAGTTTTAAAAGTTCCATGAAGTGTCATACCAATTGATTGATTTTTGCTTGCTTAGTACTCATGTTCTTATATTTTCTTTTGTAGAACAGAAACTGTTTCAAACACAAGTTCTTTAAGTAAGTTTTTCTAAAACTAAGGTTTAGAAAATCCCATGTATTTAGACTAATATATTTAGATGAACTGTATATCATGTCAAACAGTCAACCATAATTTCCTTTCTACTGAGATAATTTTATTAAACCGTGTCATCATACATTGTTCAAAGTACAATAGCTTTCTTTACTCATAAGCAAATTTTAATACAAAAAAAACACATGATAAAATTGAGAATGGAAATGGGGAATTTGTCAAAGAGACAACAACCCGACCATAGAGCAGACAACAGCCGAAGGCCACCAATGGGTCTTCAATGCAGCGGGAAACTCCCGCACCCGGAGGCGTCCTTCAGCTGGCCGCTAAACAAATATGTATACATATATTCATTATATATGGGTCAATATCTCTAATGCTAATGTGCCCCAATTTAGTAACTTTAGTAATTGACTGAGCTTAACCATTTTATGCTTTTGGGGTAATTGTCGGTATCTAAGGATCGAAATAAAAAAGGGGTTGAGTACTAAAGAAAAGTCTTATCTGCATCTATCTCATTAAAAGAACTGTATAGGTAGTTGTTTTTATATATATCTTCTAAAAGTGTTTATCCTGTAAATAATTTGGTGTGGTTCATGACAGATCTTTGTTGGTCTTTGTTAAATGTATTCACAACTTGAATTAATTTTTGGGACTTTCAGTTTGACATGGTACCTATACAACTTTAATTCTTACTTGATTTATTCTTTTCTTGACCTGTTGATTATTTTTATTTAATCAACGTGTGGTTTGTTTGATCTCAGTTCTTCATTGGTTAAAATTCGATTATGACGTCAAATTTTCTTGCTTTCCTCTGAAATTCCTATTGTGACGTCATGAAAAATGGCGACCATGCCTCATGATCTCACGTAGAAAGAACACATCTTTTTGCAGGTGGTTCGAAAAGAAGGATTAAGATTGTCTGCATATCGTCTAAAAATCTTTAGAGAAACAGATTCCACCACCAAATCTCATGCAATACGATATTTATCCACTCTCGACAGTAAATTTTAAACATTTAAAATGCTTGTCGAGCCTCGCGTTTTAAATTTGAAAATTTAACTGTCTCAAGTGGATAAATATCGAATCACACTCGATGCAGTGGTAGATAGATATAGGAAGATGTGGTATGAGTGCCAATGAGACAACTCTCCATCCAAGTAACAATTTATAAAAGTAGAATCTATATGTATAATGTTAGTAATATAGTTTTTTCTCTTTGACCTTTTTGTGTTATTTTTTATGTTGGTTCTTGTCTCAATAATATTTACCCTGCATCTCCTTTTATTCATGATAGAGTCATATAAGTGGTTGTTACAAAATATCTCCTTTCTTTGTTCACAAGTAATATTATATTCATAAATATATTGAAAATTATTCACTAACCTATGAAATATAATATTATTACAGGCCTTGGAAGCCAAAAAAGAACAGACCTATCTTTTTATAACACTTTTAAGAAATTTGATATTACTTACGTGGAACCTATCCTGTTCATCATTCTTGGTATATACATACTGCATATAGTTGTCATAATAAGTAAGTATTTATGTATTTTTACCTGATTCGCCAATGGTCAAAAGCAGGTCTAGTAACCACTCAACTCTCTCTCTCTCTGTCCATCCGTCGGACAGGCCTTGGGTAGAAAACTTTAATCAAAGTTGTAGCGTGTAATCAATTTTACTTCTATTGTGCAACCACTTCCTGTTTATTGATGCATATGTAGTTTGAAATAATTTAAAACAGATACTTTTCATCAATCTTTCCTTGGCTTCTATGGAGCAATAATTTGATATTTGGTCTGGATCTTGATAATGTTTATTGTAGCATGAAAGCAATTTTTTCATCTGCTGTGCAGCCACTTCATGCTAGTAGATAGTTTGAAATTTTACAGCACTTATTGTACTAGGAAAATGATTCAGTACACATGCTACTTCAATCAATTACGCATACAGTAATGCAGGCCCAGATCCTGTATTGGTCTTGCTAAACCCCAACTCTGTGAGCAGGGACTATATTGCAATCACTTCCAATATTTGTCCATCCTTCTATTCTTCCAACAAATATTTTCATCATCTTATTTCAGGAACTTTTGAATAAAATGACTTCATATTTGGTCAGCAGCTTGACAGTGATGAGTTGTAACATTTGATCCCTTTAAAGATTTTTCAGACACTTAATTCCTGTTTTCCTATTCTTTGAATTTAGACCAGGGATATGCTTAGCATTACTTAAAGTCATTCCTGTCCTACAGAAATGTGTTCTCATCTTGTCATTACTGAAATCATTCAGTTAAATCTCAATACAAAATATTAGGACAAAGTGTGGATTTAAAATTCAATCCACCATATATATTTACTTTCTGAATACTCAGACTAACTTCTACGTAATTTTGTCTTGGGTGGAGAGTTGTCTCACTGGCAATCATAACACATCTTCTTATGTTTATAAATAGATATATTTTATATATTTAAGTTACAAGCCATTGACAATTTGATTTCTTTTTTGGACATAGAAATACAAGGGGTCTGTTTTCCGTCCGGTCTTGTTAAAGCTCTCATTTGTACAATTTTTGACAATTTTATTTGAAACTTATATCATAGGTTGATATCAGCAATGTCTTAGACAGGTTCGTAATTAGTGCCAATCAATTATCTTTAAAAGAGCTATGCCCCTTCGAAACATTAATTATATGGAAAATTGCATCATTAGTGCTCTCATTTGTACAATTCTTGCCAGAGTTTTTTGAAATTTAAATCATAGGTTTAAATCAGCAATGTCTTGGACTTTTTCGAAAATCAGTGCCAATCAATTGTATTTAAAAGAGTTATGTCCTTTGAAAACATTAATTATATAGAAAATTGCATCATTAGTGCTCTCATTTGTACAATTCTCATGATTTCTTGCCAGAGTTTTATGAAACTTATATCATTAGTTTATATCAGCAATGTCTTTAACAAGTTCGAAAATCAGTGACGATCTGTTATTGTTGAGCCTGCGACTTTTGTTGCAGAAAGCTTGACAAAGGGATAGTGATCGGGCGGTGGCGGCTAACTTCTTAAAAGCTTTATATTTTAGAAGGTGGAAGACCTGGATGCTTCATACTTTGTATATAGATGCCTCATGTTACGAAGTTTCCGTCAGTCACATGTCCAATGTCCTTGACCTCATTTTCATGGTTCAGTGACTACTTGAAAAAAAAGTTCAGATTTTTTGGAATGTTAAATTCTCTCTTATTATAAGTAATAGGATAACTATATTTGGTATGTGCGTACCTTGCAAGGTCCTCATGCCCGTCAGACAGTTTTCACTTGACCTCGACCTCATTTCATGGATCAGGGAACAAGGTTAACTTTTCGTGGTCAAGTCCATATCTGAGATACTATATAAAGCATAAACTATATTTGGTGTATGTAATGATAGTAAGGTGTACATGTCCAACTGGCAGGTGTCATCTGACCTTGACCTCATTTTCATGGTTCAGTGGTCATAGTTTTTAGTTTTTGTGTTTTGGTCTGTTTTTCTAATACTGTATGCAATAGGTCAACTGTATTTGGTGTATGGAAATATTTTACGATGTTCATGTCAGTCTGGCATGTTTTATTTGACCTTGACCTCATTTTCACGGTTCATTGCTCAATGTTAAGTTTTTGTGTTTTGGTCTGTTTTTCTAATACTGTATGCAGTAGGTCAACTATATTTGGTGTATGGAAATATTTTACGATGTACATGTCAGTCTGGCATGTTTTTTTGACCTTGACCTCATTTTCAAGGTTCATTGCTAAATGTTAAGTTTTTGTGTTTTGATCTGTTTTCCTAATACTGTATGCAGTAGGTCAACTATATTTGGTGTATGGAAATATTTAATGATGTACATGTCAGTCTGGCAGGTTTTATTTGACGGTGACCTCATTTTCATGGTTCATTGCTTATGTTAATTTTTTGTGTTTTGGTCTGTTTTTCTTACACTTTAAGCAATAGGTCAACTATATTTGGTGTATGGAATGATTGTAAGGTGTATATGTCTGTCTGGCAGGTATCATCTGACCTTCACTTCATTTTCATGGTTGATTGGTCAATGTTCAGTTTTCCTGGTTAACTTTTTTTCTTAGATAGGTCAACTATATTTGGAATGATTTTAACGTGTACAAGTCTGTCTGGAGGGTTCAAATGACCTTGACTTCATTTCCATGGTTCATTGATCAATATAGAATTTCCATGGTTTTGTCTGTTTCTTTTATACTATAAGCAATAGGTCATCTATATTCTGTGTATGGAGGGATTGTATTAAAGGTGTACATGTATTTCCGGCTTGGTTTATCTGACCTTGACCTTATTTTCTTGGATCATAAATGTTAATGTGATGCTTGTAGTAAAACTTTATATGTAGGACTATCAACATAAAATCAATGGTCAGTATAGTAGGCGAGACATTTCAGCGTGTGCACTCTTGTTTTTAAAAGAGTTATGTCCCTTGGAAATATTGATTTATATGGAAAATTGCATTGTTAACGCTCTCATAATTTGCCCGAATTTGATGAAACTTATTTTTTTTTAATTTTTTTAACAAATTGCACTTCTGCTGTTAACAATGATCTTCACTAGTCCAGCATTCCAGTGAAGAGTCCCTGTTTGTTAATACCAGAATTTTATGAAACTTATGTCATAGGTTTATATCAGCAATGTCTTTGACACTTTTGAAAATAAGTGCTGATCAAATATTTTTAACCAGTTATGCCCCTTGGAAATATTAATTATATTGGAAATAGCATTGCATTTGCTCTGAAGCTTTCATTTCTCTTATAAAGATCACATTTAAAAACTTGTAAACATTAACAACTGATATTTACTTCATTTCCAGTTTTTACTGTTTTTTTCACTAACAATTACACATTTCACCTCAAAATTACTTTAAAATGAATATTAATAACAAGAGCACTACATAAAACACTAATAAGATCAAGTGTCCTGTCTTCACCAAGCTATAAGTCAAAAATGTAGCCATAAATAACAATTTTTCTTCTTTTCCAGTTTTCAGTATTTTTTCTCTAATAACCACATATTTCCCCCAAAAATAACCTTTTCCTCAAATTATATCAGTGTAGATTTTTAGTATGTTGTTAGTACAAGTCTGTATTCTAATTTGCACTGAAAAAACCTTGTGTTGCAATTAGTTGCAGGTTGAGTGATTTTATAGCTAAATTGACTAGGCTATTAAGATATATAAAAAGTTTAAAGAACAAAAAAAACAGTGTTTTATTTTAGTTATTGCCCTTGTTCCTTGGATAGATGAAATACATGCAATGCCGTGGACATTGGAACTCTCTTCTTTTTTTTATATACTTATATTTACCCAAAACATCCTAACTTGAAATGCCATTTTTAACTATTTTAAATATGTTGTAACGAGACAAAAAGATGATGGTATATGAATACCTGAATATTACTTATAGAATATGCTAGAGCTTATTGCAAATACAATGATTCCATGATGATAGATGGCTGTTTAACATCCAACTGCAAATTAATGCATATTCAGAACGAAAACATGTTCCACTATCAAATTTGACTTAGAAGTTATGTCACAGTTGAATGCATGCATGCCTAGCTGGACATGCTTACCTTGTCGAGAAACCTACTGGGGTAGTCATTATCAGTATGGACTTTTTCCCATTTTATACCTATATTCTAAAAAAAAACAAGATGCAAGTTTGAAAGCTTATCCTTTCCACATTTACTGATTTTAAGAAGAATTATCAAATGTTTAGTTACTATTGCTTTTACAGTCTATGGTGCATACACTAGAACTTGGAGGCCATTCAGGTTTAAACTCTTCCCATACCTAACATGGGCTTTGACTGTGACACTCATTTTAGGTATGTTTGTTTTTAAGTTTTGTGAAAAATCCATGTTTTTTTTAAAGTTTTTGCATTCCTTTGAAAAAAAATTACATTGAAAATATTTGAAAAGGAGAAACTTCTGTCTTTTGTTCACTTACATCATCAATGAAAGTGTTGTTTGTATTTCATTGAACTCTGCAAGAATATTAAATTTTAAAAAATTATCACTAATTGTATATTTTTCATTCATATACATTTTCAGCAGTAGATTTCTTGGTCTCTTGTTTTGAACATTGTTCAGTCAAAATCAGTACTATCAATAATTTTAAAGATTATTCTTAATTTCAGCTCTTTCTATTGTGTGTATAGATGTTCCTTGGACTGCACAAATTGCTTTCTCTGTATTTACAGTACAATTGTTATGTAAGTATGATATAAACATAATGTACACCTTAAGGTAGCAAAATACAAAGATTTTTTTACTTCCAATCTCCAACCTTTAAAATGATGTTACTTTCTTATGACTGCATACAAATTAATAAAAGAGGTATATATAGATAGATAAAAGATTAATCTTTTAAATGAATGCAATATTTTTGTTATGCAATCATTATGTAATCAATTATTATGCAATTAATGGCAAAATCTTGGTCAGTTCACTTGAATGAATTTAGCTCTGACATCTCTATAACTACACAAGAAATTTTAACGTTATCTTAATCAACACAGCAGAAGCTACAAAAGGGTGTCTCAAATTATCGCTATCGTATTCCATTCTCTCATAAATCTGTAATTAGTGTAAACATCCTTACCACATAAAAGTAGAGATTATTTGATTAGGTGTAAAATTTGATCTATACATTCTATCCAAAATCTGAGACACCCTTTTGTAGATAATGGCTCTTAGGGAACAACATATTATAAAATCAACCCTCTCGGGGTATCATTTCAGGATTTCAAAAAGTTACAAAAACAGTCTGACATGTATGGACTGCTATTTTTTATTTATTTCTAGTATGATTTTAATAATTAGAAGTTGCTTACTACATTAATTACTGATTACATGTGCTTCTGTCACAGGCAAGACATAGGTATGTTCAGCAGGGGGCATTAGTGGTAATTTTGTACCCCCTGCTTTCTGCAGTGGGTGGTTTAAAGTGAAGGATGGGTCACTCCATTTGTCCCTCAATTCCTCTTTTGTATCAGCAACTGTCCCTGAACCACATGAAAGAATTTTATGAAACTTTTATAGAATATTACTCACATGATGTACTTTTTATACGCCCGTTTATGGGACGTATTATGGTAAACCGTTGACTGTCCGTCCGTCCGTCCATCGTCAACATGTTGTACATTAATTCAAAAACACTTTAACCAATATGCATGAAACTTTGTTGAATTGTTTATATCTATTGACGTGAGCTCCCTTTTGTTTTTTTATAAATTTCGGATTTACCGTTTCCTAGTTTTGGGGTTTTATTCATTAAAAAAGGGGGGATTTTCCAGTTTTCAGACAATAACTCAAAAACAATTTCACCAATTTGCATGAAACTTTTGTGAATTGTTTATATCTATTGACGTGAGCTCCCTTTAATTTTTTATAAATTTCGGATTTACCGTTTCCGAGTTTTGGGGTTTTATTCATTAAAAAAGGAGGGATTTTCCTGTTTTCTGACAATAACTCAAAAACAATTTCACCAATTTGCAAGAAACTTTGATGAATTGTTTATTTCTATTGATATGAGCTCCCTTTTGATTTTTATAAATTTTAGACTATACGTTTCCGATTTATTGGGTTTTATTCATTACAAAAAGGGGTTTTTTCCAGTTTTCAGACAATAACTCAAAAATGCTTTCAGCATTTTTAATGAAACTTTAGTAAATTGTTTATATCTATATTTGTAAGCTCTCTATTGATTTTTATAAATTTTCGAATTTAGGTGTCCGAGTTATAAGATTTTATTTGTTTATAGTCTGACAACAGTTTTACTAAGCATTGCGCAACAGCACAATGTATTGCACAACAGCAAGAAATCTTTAATTGAATATAAATTCAATTCATATAACCAATTCTTAGTTCTTTGACTACATTTATTCAGAAACCTATAATATGTCAAATATTTTATTACAATCCAAATTCAGACCTGTATCAAGCTTGAATATTGTGTCCATTTTTGCCCCAACTGTTCAGGGTTGGACCTCTGCGGGCTTATCCAGTCGGCTCAGCGAAGCACTGTATTCAACTCTTATTTCATTTCTTCATCAGGGATGGGGTTGATTACTTTAAAAAGTATTTGATTAAATAACAATTACTTTCACTAATCTTATGTAATCAATTACACCTAAATTCAAATGTAATAGATTACATTACCTTGTATACTGTGATATTGAAGAATATTAACTTACATTTTATCCTCACATAAAAAAATGCTAATTTGAGTGAAAATTGTGTTTTTAATATCTTTGATATAAACATGCTATTAAGAGCTTGGAACAGGAGCAGTGTAATATTTGTATAGTTTGAAGGTATAATTTATTTAACAGATTTACATCGAATGTAAAAGTCTCTGTGCTTTCACTGTTAAAGAAATAACATTGTTTTTATCAAAATCTTATCCTCGAACATACTTTCCATTAAAACAAGAAATAAACAAATAGTGACTAATCAATGATCAAGTAGCCTTGTTGTCTGTGGAGACATAATTGACATTTATTCATTTTTTTACAGGTGTTGATGACTACTTCAAATTTAGTACAAAACAATAGATGAGCTTGGGTTATAAAAATGAATTGTTTTAATTGCAATAATCAATAAATTTATTTGCAGTTTATTTTTATTATATGATTGTATGAAAATTTGTATACGTATATATCAAGAAAACACATATAATAAAATTTGGAACTTGTTTTTATAAAATTTGTGAAAAAATGGTTCCAAATTCCATTATAATTTGAATGGGCACATTTAAGTCAGTCATGATAGAGATCAATATCTGCACTATGCCTTGACAGTCCCAGAATTTTCTGCTCCCTCAGGGAAACTAAATATTTCAGAGCTGACATCTTATTTCACATGGACACAATTTCAAAATGAAACTTTTGTGAAAGGTAAATTCATGAGATAAATTGTTTTCAAAATAAGTTACACATTCACACTCTACATGCCCTTAAGCATTTTTATACTTAACCTGAAATTATTAAAATCGTTAAAATAATCAATCATATTGAACAATGATCAATTAAATAAACAATAGTTTGATAATTGTATTTATTCATGCTTGTATATACAAAATGGTTTTCATATATAAAATTTGTAATCAGCAAGTAATCATTTAAATGTAATCTGAAAGTTATCAAAAACTAATCATGATTACACCTGTTTTTATACGCCTGCTTTTGCGGTAGTATATTGGTATCACATCGTCGTCGTCTTCAGAAGAAGACATTTGGTTTCCGGACAATAACTTTAGTATTAGTAAATAGAAATCTATGAAATTTAAACATAAGGTTTATAACCACAAAAGGAAGGTTGGGATTGATTTTGGGGGGTTATGGTACCAACAGTTTAGGAATAAGTGGCCAAAAAGGGGCCCAAATAAGCATTTTTCTAGTTTCTTGACAATAACTTGTGGAACAGTTGTGTATGGATCTCTCTGAAATTATACCACAAGTTTTAATACCACAAAGGGATGGTTAGGATTGGCTTTGGGGGGTTATGGCTCAAACCGTTTAGGAATTAGGGGCCAAAAAGTGAGAAAAAACAAGGGTGTCCTGGCTAATGGACAATTACTTTAGTACAAATTACAGTGTAAGGGAGGTAATTCAAACACAACTTTGAATTACCTCCTTTACACTGCTTTTAAATTATCTATTAAGAAATGTTGTATTGTCTTCAGTTGATTAGCTGTCAATTCATTTTTAGCTCACCTGGCCCAAAGAGCCAAAAGAGCTTTTCTCATCACTTGGCGTCCGTCATCCGTTTTCCGTTGTCGTCATCCGTCGTGGTCGTTAACTTTTTACATTTTTATACGCCCGTTTACGGGACGTATTATGGTATACCGTTGTCCTTCTGTCCGTTCGTCCGTCTGTCCATCCGTCTGTCTGCGTCAACATGTCGGACATTAACTTAAAAATGCTTTAACCAAATTGCATAAAACTTTGGTGAATTGTTTATATCTATTGACGTGAGCTCCCTTTCGTTTTTTTTATAAAATTTAGATTTTACGTTTCCGAGTTATGGGGTTTTATTCATTAAAAAAAGGGGGATTTTCCAGTTTTCCGACAATAAGTCAAGAATGCTTTCACCAACTTGCAAGAAATTGTGATGAATTGTTTATATCAATTGACATGAGCTCCCTTTCGATTTCTAAAAATTTTAAATTTTACATTTCTGAGTTACAGGGTTTTATTCATAAAAAAAGGGGGGATTTTCCAGTTTTCAGACAAAAACTCAAAAATTCTTTCAGCAATTTGTATGAAACTTTGGTGAATTGTTTGTATGTATTGATGTAAGCTCCCTTTAGAATTTTATAAATTTTACATTTTACATTTCTGAGTTATGGGGTTTTATTCATTAAAAAAGGGGTGATTTTCCAGTTTTCTGACAATAAATCAAATATACTGTCACCAATTCTCATGAAACTTTGGTGAATTGTTTATATCTTTTGATGTAAGCTCCCTTTTTATTTCCATAAATTTCTAATATGACATTGAGAATTAATTGAACTTTATTTGTTTATAGTCTGACAACAGATTTACTAAGTATTGGGGACTATTGCACAACAGCAAGAAATCTTTAATTGAATATAAATTCTATTCATATAACCAATTTCAAGTTCTTTGACTACATTTATTCAGAAACCTATAATATGTCAAATATTTAATTACAATCCAAATTCAGACCTGAATCAAGCTTAAATATTGTGTCCATTTTTGCCCCAACTGTTCAGGGTTGGACCTCTGCGGGCGTATCTAGTTAACTTCTTCTAGAGAACCACTGAATGGAATGAAACCAAAATGGCATGAATGTTCCTTATGAGATGCTGACCAAATGTTTTTACTTTGTAGCCGATCCATCATCCATGATTGCTGCAGCGGGGGACTGAGTTTAACATAGGACCCTACAGACAATACATACAAATGTCTTCTTTTAGAAAACCACTTAATGGAATGAAACTAAACATGGCATGAATGTTCCCTATGAGGGGCTGACCAAGTGTTGTTACTTTGAAGCCGATTCATCTTCCAAGCTGGCCGCCAGCAGGGAACTTAGTTTAACAAAGGAGCCTATGTGAAATACATACAAAAGTCTTCTTTTGAAGAACCATTGAATGGAATGAAACCAAACATGACATGAATATTCCTTATGAGGTGCTGACCAAGTGTTTTTACTTTGTAGCCGATCCATCATCCAAGATTGCTGC